CCGCAGCGAGAGCAACGGCAGCGGCTGTTGTTAAACACACGTGGGTTTGCTCCTGTGCTCTGACTCTGCCTCACTAGGTTATCTGAAAATTCTTATGCTTACACCTATTTTAATTACTATGGCATTTTAAGTCTAGAAATCAGGTAAGTATAAATCGTCTAACTGATCTTTACACTTTCCCTGGCTAAAATTCATGTCTTGGCATTTCCATGTTATTTTTAGAAGCAACGTGACGATTTACACTGAACAACCTACTGAGATTTAATGGGATTATGTTGAATATAAAGATGAATCTGGGTAACGGTCCTACCCACGGATATTATGTAGGTCTTTAATATCTGAAAATGAAGTGTTCTACTGCTTTCATTATGTTTGCGACTTGCCATTTGGCTTTTTATTTTTTGGAGAGGCTTTATTTGCCATAGGGTGCATGCACTTGCTAGAAAGACAGAGACAGACAAGAGAGAGAGATAGTGAGAAATCGTCCCCCAAGGGGGATGGCCATGCCGCAATCCCTTCTCCTCCATTCTCCTCTCGGGATCCTGGGCACACACATACACGTGCCGGGCCTGAGGTTAAGCCACTGGGTCCAGGAATCAAACCATGGTTGACTACATTGGAGTCCAGCAACATAGCCATCACGTCAATTGCTGGTCCCAGTCATTCGGTATTTTTGGTGCAATTATAAATTATACACACACAAGCACAAATATATACACACATGCATGTGCACATACATGCATATATAAAAATATCTGTTAAGTGCTTCCATTCTCTTATGCTTTGTTGCTAGTATCGAACACCCACATCTTACCCTCTCTCGCATTTTATGTTGAGGAAGGAGAAAACTAAGACCTTGGGGTGGGGAAGGACAGGCCAAGATCACACAACAAGCAAAGAGCAGTGCTGGGCCTCAAACCCTGAGCACTATCTTCAAAGAACAGAGATTAAGATTCTCTGACCAAGCCCCCACTGGAGTCATGAGGGAGCTCCCAGCCTTACCTGTTGTCTAGGATGGGCCCTATCTTCTGCAGGGACTTGGCCACATTGAAGCGGACATTGGCGACAGGGTCCCCAGCCATACGCAGGACTGTGGGCAGCATGTGCTTGGTGGTGATGTCCTGTCCACAGACCTCAGACAGCACCTGGGGACCAGTGAGTGGCAGAGGGATGACTGTTTAAAGTTCATGGCTACATTTTATCCCCTAACTCTGATGAACCCACTTGCAATCACCAGGTCCTACTGGGAGGCTGGGCACTGTGCGGAACTCTGAGTCTACGTTCACCCATCCTGGGGGCAGCTCATCCTCCCGAAGCTCCCAACTCCCCTAAACACACTCCTAATATACCATGTCTCCATGCTGGGACGTCCTGGTCGCTCTCAGACTCTCCTCCATCCGTTGGGGACAGGCCTTGATCCCTAACTCCTCGAGATCCCTACTTACAGTGATCTCCAAAATGTGCCGGGAAAAAAAATCTGGAAATAGTTACATTTCTTTTTAAATGCCAGCCTTTAATTTTTCTTTCTTTTTTTATATTTGTTCTTCTTTTTTTTTTTTTAAAAGATTTTTTTTTTTTTTTTTTTTTTTTTTTTTCACATGAGTCTTGCCAGAGAGAGAGAGACAGAGAGAGGGGAGGGAGAAAACAAGCCATCAAGTTCAGGACTCGAACCGTGGTCAGCCATGTGAGAATTCCAGCACCTTAACTACCATGCCACCTGCTGGACCCTAATTTCTAACTATGTGTGTGGTTTATAAGTACAGCAATGTATGAGCTTATTAGAATGTTAGTAAAAATTAATACAGAAGTACTTCCTATATGTAACTGTTCTAAGTCCTTTGTACATATAGCAATATTCATCTTTATCTTTTTATTTATGTATTGTTTTGGAGAGGTTTTTGCTACAGGGCACGTGCACTCGCCAGAAAGACAGAGACAGAGAGATAGAAAGTGAGAAATCACCCCCCAGTGGGGATGGCCATGCTGCAATCCCTTCTCCTCCATTCTCCTCTCGGGATCTTGGACACACATGCGCATGCGCCTGGCATTGAGTTCAAGCCACTGGGTCCGGGATTCAAACCGCGGTCAACTACATGAGAGTCCAGCGACATAGCCATTACTCTAACTGCAAGTCCCAGCCATAATCATCTTTATAACCTGACGTGGTGGATAGTGGGATGAACAGAATGAATTCTTAAAATTTGTATTATCATTATTATTTTATTAATGTTTTTAGAGGTTCTTGCCTTAGGGTATGTACATCACCAAAGAAACAACCAGAGAGAGACAGTACGAGGGAAAGTGAGAAATCGCCCCCCTGGGGGAATGGCCACACAATTCCTTCTCCTCCATTCTCCTGGAACTTGGACAGGCACACGCACACGTGTGCCAGGCAGGATTTCCAAGCCACTGATGTGGTTCTAGAACCAGTCAGCTGTGTGGGGTACAGCCCAGTGATGTGACCATGACGCCATCTGCTGGCCCACGCTATTAAGTTTGCTATAAGGTATGCGTGCTCAGAGAAAGACAGTGAGGGATGGAGGCAATGCGTGAGAAAGCGGGCCACCAGCTCCAGGACTTGAACCACGGTCAGACATGTGGGAGTCCAGCACCTCAACTACCACACTACCTGGTGGTCCCCAGAAAGAATTTCTTACAGTGAGAAATCTGGAGCTTTAAGTGTCAGATAACTTTCTTAAGGCTCACAGCTAATGTGCAGCAGGTCTAGAACTGAAAACAAGGTCTGAGTCCAGAACCTGGACACTTAACCATTGTACTGTAAAACATCCAGTTTGCAGGGAAGAAGGGTGCTCACAGCACTTGGGAGATCACTGCCTGCACAGGTCTGGTTTCCCCGCCCCTGGTCTCCCACTGTGTAGGTCCCCTCCCCTAGAGGTCCCAGGACCCTGACCTTGGGAGCTCCGGCCCTAGGCCTACTATCCCACCAGCGTCTCTATGGCCACAGATCTCTACCACTTCTTTATTTCCAAGTCAAGTGTCTCCCTTGGGACCATCAACCATCTTCCTTTCTTGGGTGCTTTAGCACCCCAGGGATAGGTGGAAGGCAGGTGGGGTTGCTCACATTGATGCAGAAGAGCGTTGTCATGCGGTGCAAGTAGTTGGGGTCTCCAGACATGGCCAAGACTTTGGGGATGATAGTGGCATGGGCCCA